ATAGGATGAGGCTCGCCAGTGTAACTAAAAGCCAACTAAGCTGTCTAGGAAGTGCATTAGAGGGAGGGGGGCTGTTTGTACGAGTGAAGTGTTTGTGGCAGTGGTCCTGACAGGACTGGGCGGTTAAAAAGGGTTAAAGTTCTGTACGGTTTATCATAAACCCATTGCGTAAACCTCTGAGGGGATCTCAGTTCTTAACAACACCTTTTGAAATCATGTTTGTGTTGTGAACGTCTCAGGAGAGGGTCTCGAAATAGAAGTTCATGTGCTGGCTACAGAAGAAAAACAGGAACTTTGGGCTAAGGGTCAGTTCCACACAAAAACACCTTTTTTTGTGTTTCTTAAAAAGCATTTAGGACCGGCTGGTTCAAAACCTGGCCTCAGATGGATCAGTGTTTTGTTGGTTTCAACACTTAAAGATTGATTTGTTTTTGTTTTTAAACTAAGTGTGAGGTTTGTATCATGCAACACGGTGGGGGAAACAGACTCTTTTACAGCTTCCTGTTTACATGGCAGGGTTTAAATCCTCGCGAATCTGATGGTCAGCTGATGAGGCTTAAGCTGGTTGTGAACTCTAAACCTTTAGATTAAAAGTCTAGCGTTCCCTGAGGGAATGCATGTCAACCACATCCTCTGCATTCATGCCAGAGTTTCAGACTGTGATCATTTAATGTTTACAAATGACAAAGTTACGACCTTGAAAACAATTACCCTAATAATTATATTTTTATGCCAGATGTTGCTTTATCAGTTAACAAAAAGAGTCTAAAGTTAATGCACTGAGCCAAAAACCAAAGAAAAACTTTAGAATCTTTTTGTAAGCATGCAAAACGTTTCCCTGTCCATGACAAGAAAGCCCGTTTAGCTTGGTGTTAGCCTCTTTCATGCCCCACAGTATTTATCATACCTCCCTCACAGAGCTTCTCTACTGAGACCTCCAGGTTCGTTGAAAGCTTTGTCTTCTCCTGAAATGGAACACGTTTTCTCCATTTCACTTTTGGCACAATGCAAGCTTTACCGGAGGAAATAAATCATTTGGGTTCATTAAGTCCATCTGGGAGCTTATGTAATATGCATATGTGTAGGTGTTTGTGTGTTTGCATGCAGCAGCTGAAACTAATTAACTTGCTGGGCCCCACTGTAGACCTCAGCTTGTGTCAGGAATGGATCACTTTAATCGCGTCTTCTTTTAAAAGATATCTTTATTGTCTGTAGCCACGAGAGGCGGGCAATTTTAAGTGTCTGTTCATTTCTCTCTCTTAGCAAAATATCTCATGAACCACTGGGTTGTATTTTACAGAGCCCACGAGGGGACATGGGGGGACTTTTGCGTTACCTTGTAATAAGGTTTAGCGTTCCCATGCAAAAGTTTGATTTGTATATGAACTGAATTAAATCAGACTTTTATTTTGAAATATCCAGTTACCAAAASAGGATGTGTCGCCACAAGTTCGTGAAATTGACATTGATGTTGCGTGTTTGCACTGTGTTAAAATATCAGAATATGACATACTTCCATGCTTGGCTGTGTGATATATTCATTCTAAAGCTGAATTAAAGCAGTAGGCTAACTCGCTAATGGTGAACATGTGAGTTTGTTAATAAATCGGCAGGCACAACAGTGTTTAACGACTTTTGCGAGGGAACGCAAAAAGAAAAAAAATCCCCCATGTCCCCTCGCGGGCTCAGTAGTATTGCTGCTACAAGGATGTAGCAACTGCTGGTTGTGCAATAGTCTTAATTTTGGCCATTATACCACGCCATATACAGCGGGTAAAATAAGTATTGAACACGTCAACATTTTTCTCAGTAAATATATTACTAGAGGTGCTAATGACATGAAATTTTCACCAGATGTCGGT